ATCAGTGAATTGCACACATAATACGCAGTTGTCAAAGTCACATAAGACACTCGTGTCCTGGGCCAAGTAAATTTAAAAGATTTAACAAAACGTGGCATCATATTTTGAAATGTAACTATCCAGGACATAGGTTTGTTTTCAGGTACAGTTAGCATAACTCCAGTAAGTGTCAATCAGCAAACACATGACACAATCATTGTTCTGTTGACTAACTTCCCCGCTAAAGTTCTTCCAACCTTTCTCCCTATTGCAAATTCTTGACCCTGGATGCACTAATCTCATGCATTCTTCCTTCACATTTTTGAAGTTTGGGATGAAACCTTCTTGTAAAATGAAAGAGCTCATTGTTTTTAAACTCGCCAATTGTAATGGGGGAAATTTATGGTGCATAATGGTAAGGGCTGATACAAACATGCAGACTGTGAAATGAATAAATTGGGGAATTAGCATGTCTGTCACCTCACACACTTATAATTTCTTTATTGTGAAACACTGAAATTCTACTGTCCTCGCTATTTTGAAATTCACAGTCCGTTACTACTTATAGTCATGTTATTGTATAGTAGTTGGCCAGAACTCATTGCTCCTACCTAAAATGTAATTCTGTACTCATTGATCAACCTCTCCTCAACATCTCCTGACCTTACCAGTCACCAATAGCAAGCATTCTATTCTCACTTTGCATGATGTTGGTTTTTTATCTTGTATGTGAGAACATGTTGCCTTCTCTTTGTGCATCTGGAGTTCACACAGTAAGTGTCCTCCAGGATCATCTCAGTTATTGACAATTCCACCTTTTTATGAAGAGTGTTCCATGTGTATACATGCAAACACAAACAATACACAATGCAATGTTTATGCAAACCACATTCTCTTTATCAATTCATTCGCTGTGGGACATGAAGGTCAATGCCATCTCTTGGCAATAAGGTACAATAATGTACAAGATACAGAGCAATAACACACAAAGATATCTACATCTCCAACTTATGCTCACTTTCATTTGAGAGTTTTGTTTTCTAAACTCTTTCTACAACCAGAAACAGAATATAAGGGATTGAGAAAATATATTTTTCTGTGCTTTGGGAACTTTCCTTTGTCACTCAAAGCTCCACAGATCATTTTAGAAATTTACAGGTTAGAGGAAAATGTTCTCCAGTCTCTGGCCCGGATGTTCACCTTCCCAGTCTCTCTTAGTGCTTTGCCACCTCAGATGACAGTGTCCCTCTCTCTCTCTTCAACCCTTTAACCACACTCTTGCCTTTGCATAGATTCACTCTCGTTTGGGAGTCCACCTAAGACTCCTGGTTTATACCCTGCCCCACTGCCTTCCAGTCTTCTGATGTGGGTGACCATGGTTATTTGGTAATTAGCCCCAGGAAAGTTGTGCTTTAGAATGACCTGAGAACTCTGATACCCAGACTATACCTAGAACAGTTGTAACCAATCCTTTTGTATTGAATGCTCTGATTGGAATTGATCGTGTTTCCCAAGTGTATTAACTGGAGTCTTGGATGCAGAGTTCAGGAACCACCTCAGGCTGAGGCAGCCTTCTGACTCAAGTCTTTGAGAACTGTAAGGAGGAATCTTGACTAGATTAAGTGGTTGGTTCAGGGAATAAAAGTGTGGTCCTGGCCTTTCTCTCTCTCTCTCTCTCTCTCTCTCTCTCTCTCTCTCTCTCTCTCTCTCTCTCTCTCTCTGTCTCTCTCTTTCTCTTTCTTTCATTTTTTTTTTATTTTCAAAACAATCTGAATTTGAATACCAATCCCCCAAAACTTCTACCAGGGAACTCCTACATCTGATAAACACCTTCAATAATGTGGAGGATACAAGATTAACTCAAATAAAACTAGTAACCCTCCTATATACAGATGATAAATGGTGTAAGAAAAAAATCAGAGAAACATTACTCTTTACAATAAACACAAACAACATAAAATATCTTGAGGTGATTCTGACCAAACAAGTGAAAGACTTGTATAACAAGAACTTTAAGTCTTTAAAGAAAGAAATTGAAGAAGACATCAGAAAGTGGAAAGATTTCCCATGCTCTTGGTAGGATCACCATAGTAAACAAAAATGGTAATCGTACCAAAATCAATCCACAGTTTCAATGCAATCCCCATCAAAATCCCAGCACAATTCTTTACAGACCTTGAAAGAACAATATTCAACTTCATATGGAAAAATAAAAAACCCAGGACAGTCAAAACAATCTTGTACAAAATAGAAACTTCTGGAGGCATCACCATCCCTGACTTCAAGCTTTATTATAGAGCTATAATAAAGAAAACAGCTTGATACTGGCACAAAAACAGACAGGTGGACCAATGGAATTGAATTAAAGACTCTGTTATTAATTCACAGTCTACGAACACCTGATTTTTGACAAAGAAACTAAAATTATACAATGGAAAAAGAAGGCATCTTCAACAAAACTTCCTTGGTAGAAGTTTTTGGGGATTGGTAATTCAAATTATGGTTCTGGCATAACTTGATGTTGACCTGTAGAAAAATGCAAATTGAGTCATATCTGTCTCCATGCACAAAGCTCCAGTCCAAATGGATCAGAGACCTCAACATAAATCTAGCCACACTGAACCTCATAATAGAGAAAGTGGGAAGTAGCTATGAACGCATCGGCACAGGAGATCCCTTCCTGAATATAACCCCAGTAGCACAGACACTGAGATCTCCCTTTTTTTCTGGTGGCTCTGATATGATGGCAGAGTGAATGAAGTGCAGATATATGGAATTTTACTAGCTTAAATTCACAGCAAAAAATCACTTTCTGATTTCCTTCATGTTCTAGCAATTGGCAAGGTCATACACCTCTCACTAAATCTCTCTGTAAGGACAGAGACCTGAACCACACTCGGGTTACACACTAATCCTGCATCCCCACTGTAGAAATTCAGATGAAAAATAAGTGATGTTCACCACAACATCCCAGTGAGTACAGGGCATTATGCCACGTACTCGTTATATGTTCCCAGTTATTCCTGAGAAATTAAGTGAAATGATGTAGTCCCACTTCACAAATAATACATTGACCAGGCAAAAATTGACATCTAAAATAATCCATAGGTCACAGGTTCTCTCGCTATATACATGCCAAAGCTCTGTTCTTCTACTGCTGTGTCAGAAATCATTGCAGTAAGAAATGGATTCCGTACAGCGCATGCATGTGTTCTAACTCAAATTTACCACTTGGACATTGGTCAATGCCATGGGCAAAAGGAGAAGTGGTTCTCTCGGATTTGGAGAGTTTACTGCAGAAGAACTCTCCAGCTTGGTAAGCAAGCCTTACTGGTTTCAGTCAGGAGGAAGCTCAGCAGGACCGTGAGCTGAGACAAGACGCGCAGAGTATTAATTTCCATCCTGACTCAGGAGGAGGTAACCACCAGACAGATGTCCCTGTCTGAAGCTGAGTGGGTTTTAATCATGGATATTTGTAAACATTATAAATCTAACCAGTTTGCCATGAGCAAGGTGGCTCTAAGTGTTTCTGTTCTACCACCATAAGAGGCCTTGGTTCCTCCCCTGTGGTCTCCTCCACAAGACTCAGAGTTTCTCAAAGTATGGCAGATGGGTTCCAGTGTGAGCATATGTCTTAGTCCATTTAGTTCGACATAACACAACACTATGTATCAAGCCATTGATAATCGTATTATACACAACAGATGGTACCAACTTCCTGCAGTTCTGTAGGCTATGAAGTCTAAGATGAAAGTGTCAAAAGGTTTACTCTGTGGTGATGTCCCATTTCCTGATTGATAAATGGCGGTTTCAGGAAATGTCCCCACCTGGTAAAAGGAACAAGGCAGTTCCTTCAGCCTCTTTTATGAAAGAATTACCCCATCCATGGGGGTTCTTCCCTTTTAACCCAATCCCCTGACAGAAGACCCCACTTGTAAATTTCATTAACTTTCGGAGTAAGATTTCCACACGTTAATTTTAGTGAGACTTAAACATTCAGACAACAACATCATCCAATAAGAGGAAAATTAAAATATTAATATTTAAATCTTGGAAACAAAAATACAGCATGGTGACATGCGTGAGATTTTGTTACTGGTCAAGAAATTACCAAAAAAGATGCTCAAGAGGAGCTGGGGCAAGCCTGCATTCTGAGAGCAAGTGTCTCAGGATTTGAGGTCACTTTTAAATGTTGTTTTTCCTCCTAGGAACTGTCTGGTGAGAAGCTGGTGCATCTCCAGCATGCAATGTCCATTCTGATCATGCTGGTTCTAACACAACCTTATAGAGGACCAGTATTGGTTTACACATAAAGCCTCTGAAGACATGTCACTTGGTTAGACTGTCGACTGCCAGTCTCTCTGCTATCAGTCCAGTCTGTGGGACATCCAGAAGGCACTATGTCTCCAGTAACAATCTCATGAGTGTTATGCCCATGTTGCTCTAGATAACTGTTTGTCCTCGACTAGTGCCCAAGAAAGGTTGCGTCTGGTTCCTCCAGAGAACGACATGATGTCGACATATCAATCACACTGGAGACTCCATCAGTAACTACAGTCACACTGCAAATCTAATGTACAATCTTATCATAGTGCAACATCCTTGCTCCTCTGAATGGCTTAATCAGCTCTAATAGGGAGGCTTAACTATCTCTAAGAGTTGTGACCTAGGTCCCGGAGAGGCTCACTGAGAATTAGCTTTCAAATTCTTCTCTACAAATTCATTGACTATTTCAGTCATTTTCACCAAGTATAAAGCATGATTCGTAAGCCACGCATTTCCTTCGTGCTCTTTCATATTGTCTGACATCAGTGATCTCACACGCCCGTGCAGCACCGGCTCAACTGTGTAAGCAGTGATGGGCAAGCAAGTGCTGTCTAGTTCTGAAAAGGAAGATAAGGGGTCCCTCTGGGAAGTCCTGCCTTGGCCCAGCTTTTCCAACTTGCGTAACCATCCTTGCACCACAGATGCTGGAAGCACCCAACAGAAATTAACCACAAAAAAAAGGGCATCCCAACTGGCTATTAAATAGGGCAAGTCTGCTCCATGAGGGCACAGCTGCTGTTGCCCCCAAGATCTGAACAGAGGAGTGCCATCTCTCCTGCTCTGCTCTCTGCACAGCCCAAGGATCTGTGAGTAACGAAATTCCCTTAATTTTCAAAGTATGGGCATGTCATTGAGGCCCAGCTGCAACTGATTTCCTAAAGGCAAGTTTGCCCTGGGATGCCCACATATGCAGAGACACTTCTCAGGCTCTCCTATGTGGGCTTCTGGTGGCTTCTAAGGACAGTGGTTACTGGTTAAGGGGAAATTCACAAAGCTTTCTTCAAAACACAGATGTTTTCCTTGTCATTCAGGTAGGGAGAATAATATAATCTGAAAAATGTCTTTCTGTTTTAAGGAATATCTCTTTGGGTCACTTGCCATTTGTCGTCTAACTTGGTTTTGGCTTCTGAGTTGCACACATTGCCCGTATATGGACAATAGTTTCTTATCAGGTTGTGCTTTGCCAACCTTTCCCGACATGCTCGAGTTGGCCATTTCACTCCCATGCTCATTCGCTCCCCTATGTAGAAGCTGTACAGTCCAGCACAATCCCATTTGCCTGCCTTTGCTTTGTTCCCATACAAGAAATATCTGTTCCATTCTTGCTCTGTACTTTCTTCTCGTAGTTTTATACTTTCAAGTCTTGTGTCTTTAATTCATTTTATTGGAGATCAACATCCGATTGTGCATCAAGTCATTGGGTTGTGTGCTTTAACTCTGACTGTCTCAATTGGCACTCATAGATGCAGAGAGGTAGAAAGAAGAATCATTCCTCCTTTTTGGATCAATGTTTTACCTAGCATCACAGGAGTTCATTTCGTCCATAGTTTGATAAGGTCAATGTGCTATCAGAACCAACCCTATAAAGCCTTGATTAACACGCATCATCAGGATCCATGTCTGACCCCAGAGTCGACAACTTCAGAAGGCCTCAGAGTCCATCCTCAGAGAGGTAGAGTCTTTGTGTCCTTGAACTTAAAGCATGAGAGTGCCGCTTCTTCTCATCTATTTTAACATTAAAAAGTAAACACTCATTTCAGTGCTAAGTACAAAATCCAAAACAACAGCGGAGTCCTCCTCATCCTCACCAGCTTAAACCAAAGGTGGAGGCACTCGAGATGGAAGCCGTGAGAACGAGAGCATCAGGAGAACCTTAAGGACAGATCTGCTTCCTTATCACTGTTGACCTTGTCCAACTGCAGGGCCTGTCTCGGACCCTTCTCTTCACATACCCCCCCCACATGGTTACTGATTATTCCATCCGCTAGGAAACCTACGGCCATGAGGACCCTCATTCTACTCATCGCCCTTCTCCTGCTGGCCCTGCAGACTCAGGCAGAACCTCTCCCAGGAAGAGCTGAGGAGGTTCTAGACCAGGAGCAGCTGGGAGAGGATGAGCAGGGTGTATCCATCTTCCTAGGAGGGCGTGACAGCACTGCCCTCCAAGATGCAGGTGAGCGGCGCCAGCGTGTTAGAGATAGGAGCGGGGAGAAGGGGTGGAGCTAAGCTCTGAAATCAGCTCACCCAGGGGAATGAATTACTTCTTTATTTTTTTACATTCAACAGCAAGAGCTCAATAAATCAATTTCTTTCTGCAAAGATTATTGTTCCAAGATAATTTTATGACTATCACTGGGTTTAATACATAAAACGATTAGTAACTGTTTTTTTTTCTATATCTAACTTGGTAGACTTGGTCAGATGGAGAATATTTTATTGTGTCTATTATATTTTAGTATCTGGAGGTTTGTGTTTAGATTTTTATATAATGGCCGGATGCACAAAGTATGTGTGATGGTAGGAGAACAAAAATGAAAAGAAACAGAATTAAGACAAATTGTTATTGGTCTTTAGTTTTGTGCAGGGCCGATGTTTAACATGCATATTTATTCATATTGATTGTGATTGCTCAGGCTGTTGTCAGTAATGATGAATGTGGGGGACCCACTTCACCTAGCACATGTCTTACCCAGGGTCTCTTCCATCCTGCTGACTTGGGCACTGAGTGCTTCCTGTGGTTTTTGTATCCCCAGATGTGAGGTCAGGCGTGACCTGCTACTGCAGAAGAGGAGGCTGTCATTTTCCAGAACGACTTCTTGGCTTCTGCAGGGACCGCCGTAACACTGTCTACCGACTCTGTTGCCGCCGATAATTAAGAACAAGATGACTACGTTTTCATAGTAGTCGAAAACCTGAAGGATACTGTTTGTCCCATGCTGTGTCCTTGAGTTTCTTCCTATTTTCTATCTAAATAAAGTCCTTGCAGCAAGCTTTTTCTCTGTGTGCTTGTGCTTGTCTGTTGCCTCCAAGGAAGACTCTGAGAATCAAGTACCAAAATACAGTAAAGAAATTCTGAACTGCAGATCATAGGAATATCAAAGCTATATCACACAGGCTTCTGGTGATTAATAAGAGAGGTCGGTTCTATTGTAATAATTTCCATCTCTTATCTTATTACTCCGCCTCATTTAGATGAGAACCACATTCAAAGCCATTGGCAATGGGGAGGCAAAAAAACATCATGATTATCTTCAAATTTCCATAGTCTCAATGACCTGACTTCTCAAAGATGCCAGCATCCTCATTTTGAATGTTAGGATTTAGCTGAATATGCTGAGATCATATATGTATGTGCCCATAAAGCCCTACATTTGTATCACCTTCACAGACACAACTTTAAGTAGCATTAGGAAAGGTTAGCACATGCTGCCTTCCACTGTCCCAGAGAGGCGAGGTAACAAGGAGAAGTCAAACAGGGACTCACGGATGTCCCTGGGAAGAGGAAGTAGAAGAGATTTCCTGGGTAAACTGGGGGCAGGCGAGGGTGGGAACATAAGGGATCAGGGGCAGAATAGAAGGAGAGAGTGATCAAAGAGGGGACAATTTGGGGGCCGTGTAGAAACCTGGTGCAAGGGAAATGGCCACAAATCGACAAGAATGACCCTAGCTAAGACTCCTAGCAATAGTGGAGAGGCGGTCTGAACTGGCTGTCTTCTGTAATCAGATTGGTGACAACCCTAATTGTCATCTGAGAGTCTTTGAGTAGCTGATGGAAGCAGATCCAGAGATCCACAGACAAGCACTGGGCTGAACTCCATAAATCCTGTTGAAGAGAAGGAGAAAGGATTGTAAGAGCCAGGGTGTCAAGGTTATCACAGAGACAACTAACCTGGGCTCATAGGAGCTCAAAGACACTGGACCGACAGTTAAGAAGTCCACATGGAACTGATCTAGGCCTTTTACATATGTGTAACAAAAGCATAGCTTGTTCTACTTGCGGAACTCCCAACAGTGGGAGCCCTGCCTTCTCTGATGCTTTGACAGGCTTTGGGGAACCTGTCCCAAATATTGGGTTGCCTTACCAAGCCTTAATAGGATAGAGCTCAGTTTTACCTCAACTTGATATGCCTTGCTTTGTTGACACCTATAGGAGGCCTGCCCCTTTCAGAACAGAAACAGAGGAGGAGGAGATTGAGGTGAGGCAGAAAGGGAGGAACAGGGAAGGATGGGAGGAGAGGAGGGAGAAGGAACTGCAGTCAGGATGTAAAATAAATGGATAAATTTAATTAATAAAATACTTCTGGAAAAGAAAGGTTAACAGCAAAGACACTAAGTAGGAATTAAAGCAGGAAATCCCACCCAGATATGTTCCTTGTCAGACTATGTCTGCCCACATCCAGTGAAGATGGGATTGATATACGTAGCCCAGGCTTTTAGAAACACGAAACCCATGTGTTCATGTCTTTATCTATACCTTAAGATAACTAGGTGTAGGTGTCTTAAGAAACCTTTATCTATACTTCTCAATTAGTGCTAAGCAGTTGGAAAATGTGCCTGACATCGCTCACATAACAAGACATGCCAGGACACAGGAAGGTACAGCAGGAGGGACCAGGTGCCAGAGAACAGGGTCCTCAGTCGCCACCCCAGATCATGCCTCTTGTCCAGGTGAACTTAGCATGGTGGACTACAGAGGGAACCGGAGGCCCTGAGCTTCCAAACTTTAACAACCATCCACAAATCCATCAGACATACTTAAATGTGGACATGTGAGAACGTATGGAAGTTACTAGTTTAACTCTAGCAGAATAGGTTCCCAGGCCTTCCAAAATCAGAAGGGATAAGAAGGAGTCATGGTTGTTTTTATGAACTCTACCCTCACTGATGTTCAGAAGATCTTCTAATTCCCAGATTCCAGCCTCTTTTATGGAGTCTCTTTTGTTCTTCTTGGAGTGCTTGCTTTGGATCTAATGTGGTCACTGTGAAGAGTTCAGAAGACTGGAACTTGATGCCTACTGCTCTGAAGACTCTGGGGAAAGAAGCTGTGCCACCTGCCACGCCATCTGTCCTCTTCTGATGGAGCTGGTCTTTCTTTACTGCGAATTCGTGGTCAGTGTCTCACGCAGAAAGACATTTCAGTATGGAAGCTCCCTGGAGCAGCTGAGCATAGGCAAACCGACCTGGGACGCAACAGACACTGTTTCAATGCGGCCTCCTAGACGACTGGCGGTTAAACTGGCTTAACTGTGGGAGTGAGAGTGGAGTGAAGAGTCAGACACAGAGCAGAGCCGAGACCTGCATGACTGCCATCCTGGAGGCTCCTCTTTAGTCTAATGCCATCTGATGGGCGGGGTGGGGGATGCTTATCTTGTTTGTGTTTGGTCACTAGAAGGTGGATCACAGAAAACTGGATCCTTCAGAATAGGGTTAGAGTTTAGTGTTTGCCTCTGTGTAAGGGAAGGCATGGAAATGTGGACGGGAACCGCACAAGGCTCCCTTATTCTCCTTTGACCCTTTGATGATCCAGGATTTCTGCTTACACCACATGTTGCATCTCTTTGATGGCTGACTATGACTATGAAAAAATGATGATAAGCTCCCTTGATCCCCAGCAGCTTAAATATTTATCAGCTGCCATGTTATTGCTCTCTGCTGTAATCTACTGTTTTTAGAACAGATCAGGAACATTCATTGATCCTCAAAACCACATCCTGCACTTCCATTAATATATATCCATGCAATTTAATGGAACTCATCCAAAAAGGGCTAGAGAGTGTCTAAATATCATGACTCTGCAGTAATGTCAGGGATGGCCTTTGAGGAACAGTCTCTGTATCCAATGGAGGAGCTTCCGTCCTGACTCATCGTGACCTAGGTATCTAGTGTTTTCTAAAAACCAAGTTTCTTTCAAACACAATTGAGATTGGGCCTCATGGCACAGGCTTATGACTCCAGCACCAGGGTGAAGCAAGTAGGAAGACAGCAATGCCCATGCCAGACTGGGCTGTCTAGTAAGACCCTGGCTCACATAAGCAAACACGCCCACCACAGGGGCTGTGATCACTCTACTGACTTTTCAGAGAAGCTAAATAATAAAGTGAACCCAAAGAAAAACATATAGTCATCCTCCTGGATATTAACCTTCATCCTGTGACGAAAGGAGACAGAGACAGAGATCCACATTGAAGCACCGGACTGAAATCCCAAGGTCCAAATCAGGAGTAGAAGGAGAGAGAGCACAAGCAAAAAACTAAGGACTGTGAGGGGTGCACCCACACACTGAGACAATGGGGATGTTCTATTGGGAACTCACCAAGGCCAGCTGGCCTGGGTCTGAAAAAGCATGGGATAAAACTGGTCTCGCTGAACATAGCGGACAATGAGGACTACTGAGAACTCAAGAACAATGGCAGCGGGTTTTTGATCCTACTGCACGTATTGGCTTTGTGGAAGCCTAGGCAGTTTGGATGCTCACCTAACTAGACCTGGAAGGAGGTGGGAGGTCCTTGGACTTCCCACAGGGCAGGGAACCCTGATTGCTCTTTGGGCTGACGAGGGAGGGGAACTTGACTGGGGGAGGGGGAGGGAAATGGGAGGCAGTGGCGGGGAGGAGGCAGAAATCTTTAATAAATAAATTAATTAAAAAAGCAAATAAAAGACTGCAACACATATAAGTATCTGTATAAATATGCACATATAGATTTGATGAATTTTTCTCATCTGGGCTGATAAATCTCCCTCCAAGAGCCAAAAACTATCTAACAAAATCTCCCATACCAGGCATGGGAAGCCTGCTTTTGAGTTGGTGATTAGGGTTATCCAAGAGACTACTTAAATAGCAGTCTGTTCATGGCTCTCACAAGATTTTGGGGCCTAATTCCGCATAGTCTTCCTCACGGTTGAGACTGATGGACATTGTCCCCTAGGTAGATTATGAATACAGTAATCATCAGATTTGAAGCACTCTGGCACTTGTTGGGCTTTTAAAATTTATATAATGATTGAGAAATAATTTTTTGGTTTCTCTCTGTGGGCTTAAGTTAATTCTGTTGTTTATTTCGAGTCAGTCAACAGAAAGCAGCGCGTAGCACCTGAGAAAGGCCTGGTAAACAGCGCTGCGGGAATGAGAAGCAGGAGCTCCCGTCAGTACTCGGGCACTGTCTGAGACGCTTGTAGTTGGCTCAAGGGACAATGGTTGGCAACGGTGTGATTTTAAAAAGAATCTTTGAAAATCCAAAAAAAAAAGAAAAAAAAAAAAGCAGTCTGTTGCTATTGTCTTTGGTTGCCCTCTAGTGGTGGAAGATAAGTTCCTTATTACTGAAAACCCACGACCACCATTTTACGAAGCCAGCACAATGACTAACTCCACTTACGTATCTGTTCTTATATTCACAGATGAATGTAGTCCTTTCCACTCGTCAAGGAAACATTTCTTTGCAACCAAGGGAGACCATTACAGAAAACCATAACCAAGCAATATGTAGAGTCCAGTCCCAACAGATACATCTACAAAACAACTGGCCCACCTAAGGCTCAAGGGCAGGAAGACTGGAAGAGAGAGATGATTAGGCAGTTTGCTATTATATATTGTGTCTCCAAAAAATGTCAGAAGTTACACCCTTAAAGTCTCTCCAGAATGATTTCCTAAGCATGAGATGAAGAAGGACAATAACAATAGATATGCTGAAGTGGATGTGGGAAAGACCAGGAGTCATCAGCCCTGCACAAAAACTACAGGCAACCAGAGAATACGTAATAGTAGAAATAGTCTTCATTGGTGGAAAGCATGACAATTATTTATCCAATAATGAATGATCATCACTGAAAACATCATGAAAGTAACATATTCATGGAGGCAAGGTGTATTTATGTAATTAGGAACACATATGTACAAACACATGTGTATCTAACAACAATTAATAAAAGCAGAGGCCATAAATCTGAAAGAGAGAAGGGAAGGGTTTGTAGGGAAGAAAGGAAGGAGAAAATGATGT